TCTACTCAGGAGCCAGGCTAAGAACTATTCCATTCAAACAACAGAAATCATCCCAAAGAAAGAAAGTAGGATAATCTAATTGGGACTTCCAGGTCAAGGATGGTGAGTTTGGATCTTGCTTAGAAGGGAATGGATGTAGACTGACAATCCATTGCAGGGACAAAAGTAGGTGTAATTAAAAAGGCAAGCAATCAAAATAAACTATGAGTAAAGTGAGGTAGATAACACTTGAGGAATACAGTTTTAGAAAGATGTCAAAGCTCAGCATCTATCTCTTTTCAAATGATGCAGAAAATCAGTGGATTTTTAGCAGGGAGAATCAATTAGAAAACAAATGAAGCTTCACCTATCCAAAAGAGTATTTGTCTAAAAATGAACAGAAGGCTTGCTATTGCTTTGTCTATTACTTATAAGCATCTATTTATTATCCAGTTAGAGAGCCCACAAAATCCAAAAACATTATGCTTTCTTGACCTAGTTTTGTTATATATAGCTTTGGCTAGAGATTTATTTTATTTTATTTTATTGGGGTTTTTTTGAGACAAGGTCTCACTATGCAGTTCAGGCTGGCCTTGTGCTCACTTTTATAGCCCCTAGGCTGTTCTCGAACTTGCAGAGATCTTCCGGGCTCAAGCTCCCAAGTGCCGGGATTACAGGTGTGTGCCACCATACCCAGTTCTGGGGTCCCACGGTGGGTGCCTCCATCCAGAGCTGAGAGAGCACAGCATGTGGGGCCAGGGATCCAACTTGGGTCTTTGTGTTTGCCATGTAGGTGCTTATGCCTCTGAGCTATCTCTCCAGCCCAGGAGCTTAGTTCTGACAGCTTTTTCAAGATTCCTAGTATTCTGGGCAAAAGATTGTCTGGGAGTATATGATTGTCAACAACATTCTACTCTGTGTTTGAATCACTGCCATTCCTTCTAGAAATGAACCTAGACAAGTGGGAGAAAACAGCACACAGCTTCTCTGTGCACAGAAGTATCAATAGGAAGTAGAGCGAAAGATAGCATTAAAAACTAGCTTTCAAAAAGCTTATGTCATGATATGCAGATAACTGAGACACTTCATTTATAATCTACCTAAGCACAATTTGAAACAGTTGATAGGCTGTGGACACACATGGAATGAATTGGAAGCTTATGACCTTAGTTACTTCACATTCCTGCAGCTTGCTGATCTCATGAATACCACCAAGACAAACTTGGAAAAATCAAAAATGATGATGAATCTAGTAAAGGCAAAGAGGGACATTTCAACTCAGTAATCAGTACAGTTGTATACTCTATAATCTGAGCATATTTGTGTGGAATACATGGAAATTCATTGTTTTCCTCTCTTTCTAGGCTGTCAGGAACCCACTCATGGGGTCTGTGCTCAGCCATCTGTCCCTTTTCATGGGTGTTTGCAGTGGATGAGGTATTGAAGGGAGACACTATTTTCAATGGGCATGAGGGTACATGGCCAGGGGAGAGTGAGGAAGTTATGTGGGACTGGAATCGAGGGTGGATCTACCCGGGGAAGAGCAAACAAGCAAAAATGGAAAACATAGTCAGAAACAGGTTAATGTGTGTTAAAATTATTCTAGTGTCATTCTTTAGGTAATGGCTGATTATTGAAGGGGATTGAGATATGTATTTATTTAAAAACAAATCCTTCACCCACTGCTGACTAAACTTGGAGACTATAGAGTTAGGGGGAAACTAGCATAAACATGCCTGGGAGACCAATATTCAAGGGCCAGATACCTCCATTTGTTGACTGGAGAGAGATGAAAAAGAGGTAGAGGGAAGGAGTGGGGACTGGAATCAGCAGTCTAGGGCAACAGAGAGAACAGAGAGACAGGATATGGCTGGGGGGCAAAACCACTGAAGCTGCTACATGAACATAACTATCAAATCATGGAGTTCCAATTGATGTAAAGGATGGAAGCCAGTTGTAATTGGTTGAAAAGTGAATGGATGAGAGAACAAATAAAGCAAGGTTAAGTGTGCTTTTTAAAAGATCGGTGAAAGAAAAGAAACGGCATAAGAAAGAACAGGATCACTGTAAGAGGTTAGAGGAGGACTTGGAAGCTTTCCTTTATTGTCAGAAGCATAGAGCAGGTGAGATGGAGCATTGTGCTGGGAAGTTGCTAAGTCCAAAGAAAGCTGATCTGGCTCCTGGCCATGCATCGGCCAGTTACTGGAAAAGACAGCAATGGTGACGGCAGACTTATGCAGTATTCTGTCATAGCTACTCCTATGTTTTACCTTTCAAGGACGCCATGTGCCATGGATCCTATTGTTACCATCATTTTCTTATAAGGAAGGTGTATTACAGAGAAGTTAGATACTCTTCCCAGCTTGCATTCTGCCCATTACGCTAAGCACATGCATTAAATCAGAGCCACCAAAATGATATTTTGAAGAGTTTTGATTGAAAGGTGGATGCCAGACCCTTTATCTGGTCAGTTTTCTTAGGGAAAGTTTCTCTGTGGAGTTTATCTTTGCATGTCTTTCCAAAGGTGAGGACTGAGTAAAATTATTGTCTCATCAGTATTACTTGACTCTTAGCCTTCTTGGAAGAAGTAGTGTGTAGTAGGAAATACCATCCAAGATGTAGTTTGCAGTAACAGAACAAAACTAGTCATGAGAATGGAGTAAAAATGTTGGTTAGTAATTCAGGGTGAAGGATAAATAGTTCAGTGGATTAAAGTGCCTGCAAGCAGGCACAGGGTCCAGGGTTCGATCCCCGGGCCTGCTTTGCCAGCCCCACCCCCAGGGCATGTTAATACAGCAATTGGGATTCCGTGGTGGCACGTGCTTGTAATCCCAACTCTTGGGAAGCTGTAAACAGGCAGATCACTAGGAGTCCAATCTCGTAGTGAGACCCTGAACACCCTGCAGACCCTTCCCTAAAATACAACAACAACAACAAAAAAGTAATTCAGGGTGAAAATCCACGCAGCAGGTGAGAGAGGTGAGAGAGCTGAAGATGGCACACTGTTCTCTGCAGTCCGCATGTCTTCATCACATGTGAACAAGACTTACACAGTCAGTAATAGAGCTCATGAAAACTTGGAGGAGACTTTTGTGTTTGCACTATATCCCTCATCCTCATGGCCCAGATTTTCCTCACTTTTATGCCTATCACTCAGTGAAGGTTGCATTATTTCAAAATTTAAAAGACAAAAAACTTGTTGGCCTCTTACCCTAAAATTGTCATTACAAATGTGTTTACCTTGATCCAAGCATAATGTCTACTCTTTTAAAGGAAATATCTCATTTTACTTTTACATAAGCCATGGAGATGGCTTGTGAACCAGGAGGATCTCCAAGATGGATTATTTTTTCTGTATAGTTTTGTTTTTCCAAACCCAAACTTAAACCTATCAAAGGTCCCTTCAGGTGTTCCAAATCTTTATTAAAAGCTCCATTTTGTATTTGCTGTTAAAGCCAGGTGAAAATTCTTCGGTAAGACTCACTCTAACCCTTAATCTGTGGTAATGATCTCCCATGAGCTCAGATTAGGTAAAACAGCCCTTCAGTTCCCATGTAGTTACATTTTTGGAAAATTTCATCCGCTTCCTCCAGAAAGCTGCAGGAAGCTCAGGCTTGAGGACATGATATTTTCTGCCTTTATGGAGTTAGCAAGTGGCTAAGCCAAGATATAAGCAGCAGTGTGAATTCACACTCATGCCCTTAATTCTTTGCACTGTACAAGAAATAAGGGGACCCTGCCCTTGTCACTGCCTTCAGAGTTGGCTCAGGGCTACTATGTCCTTATCTAAGAAGATTAACTGTTTAAAAACCCTGTCTTTATGGTTACTGACCATAACCAATGAGGGCTTTGTTTGTGGACATGAATAATAGGAAAAAATTGAACCTAGTAATAAACAAAAGTTAAGGTTGCCCTAGTGAAGATAGAAAAGCTTTCTATACTTTACCTTGCCCAACCAGGCCATTAAAAGTTTATTTTGTAATTTTTTTTTATTTCTCGGTGTAAAAGGGTTCTGGACTAGTATGTGCTTTGGTGTTTTTGATGTTTTGAGGGTCACATTAAAGCAAAGAAAGGATTAGTCAGAAAGAGGGCTTTTAAGGTGGTAAATATTACTCGCAGCGCTTTTTCTCCACCTTTCTCTTCAATGCTATGTCCTTCCTCAGTTCACTGGTGGAATACAGGATTAAAGATACTGCCACTGATTTTATGTTGTGGCATCAGTAATTTGATGGGGGAGAAAAAAATATGTAAACTCACCAAAAATTTTTAACTACTAATATATTGGATTTTGGAAGCTAATACTTATCCACTTTTATTTCATGTTACAAAGCCGCATCAGCTTTATGCTCATGAATATGACACCATATGCTCAATGCATTAACATGACTAATGAGACAAGTACTAAAGGCTCCTGCCTTATAAAATATAATGTGTAATCTAGTAGACAAAATGGTACTTTTTAATATCCTCGTTATCTAAGCATTTATATTGATCAGCTGTTACTATGTAATGAGACAGATATAAACAGTGATCTTTGGTAGATTTTATTTTATTTTTTTTTATTTTAGGGAAGGGTCTACAGGGTGTTCAGGGTCTCACTACTTGGTCAGACTCCTAGTGATCTGCCTGTTTACAGCCTCCCAAGAGCTGGGATTGCAAGTGCGTGCACCACCACGCCCCGTCTCGATCGCCATCTCAGCATGCCCCGGGGGTGGGGCCGGCAAGGCAGGCCCGGGGATTGAACCCCCCCCCCCGCCGGCCGCTGCGCCTGCTTGCAGGTGTGCCCTGATCATTGGTAGATTTGATATGACAAATTTTTAGATATCTCTCATTGCCCGCGTAAATGCTGAGAAAGTTTTTCTCCTACCATCCAACGCGGGATGTTCTCGGGCATATTGATGGTGGAACAGCACTTTTTACTTCTGCTGCCTATTTTTTTTGTTTTTGTTTTTGTTTTTGTTTTGTTTTGGTTTGGTTTTTTTCTTATAAATTATTGGATCTCCTTCTCTGTTTTCCTACAGGCTCAGTTTGAACTTCAGGCATTTCATATACGGGGCGAGCACGCAGCAATTACAGCTCGGCTGGAAGAAACCATTGAAAATCTCAAGCACCAGTTAGAATGCCGATGGCGAGGAGGATGCCAGGAGCTGAGAGATGCCTGCGTCTCCACCGACGACTGCCCTCCCAAGGCCTACAGAAATGTGTGCATCCAGACAGACAGACAGTCCTTCCTCAAACCCTGCGAGGGTGAGAGCAAGACAGCCAGAAGTAACCACATAGTGCCCAAAAAGCTGAACATCTCTTCTCTAAGCCAGCTCTCTCCCCCAAATGACAACAAAGATATCCACACGCCACTTCAGAATGGGGAAGGCAGCTCACCAAGTCACCCGAAGACGTCCCCTCCTGCTCCCCCAATGCCCCCACCCCTTCCCATTCCACCCCCTCCACCCCTCCCGTCTGTACTTGGAACTTCAGTGCCGCCAGAGCCCCCCACCCCAGCTGTGAGTGCTGCCCCTCCGCCTCCACCTCCTCCGCTGCCTCCTCCTCCGCTGCCTCCTCCCCCGCCCCTGCCTCCAAGTGCTGGACCTCTGGTGCCTCCTCCCCCACCACCACTTCCTAACTCCCAGGCTGTGCCTAGCAGCAGCGGGACACCCCCAACCCCTGCATCCCTGGGACCTGCACCTCCACCCCCTCCTGGACTCTTCTTTGGACTCAGCTCTTCTTCCAGCCAAGCTCCTAGAAAGCCAGCTGTGGAGCCCCGTCATCCCATGAAGCCCTTGTACTGGACCAGAATCCAGATAGGAGATGGGTAAGCTTCTGCCAGCCTGTTCTCATTTCGAGTTCCTGATCTTCTCCAAGTGATGGCTTCGTCTTGTGAGCTTAGAGTCAGCATAGCATACAGTCCATTCTCAGCTGCAGTGAGATAGAAGGATAAAAGGGAAGAACGGATGTCTGTACTTTCTATATTTGAGAGAAACAGTGAGTTCCACCCCATTCCACAGGCTCAAGCTTGAGTTCAAGTCTAAGCCAAGACCTTCAGCCATCAATGAATAATTATAAAGAAACTGAGTGCAAGTCTGTACTATAGGTTCAACACAGATTTTTAGGATATATTTTTGGATGTATTTTCTTGCTTTTAGATGGTAGTATTAATGTCATGATGTTCGTGTATTTTTTATTTTTATATTTAAAGTAGGAGATGGTTGAGTTATTAGTTCCTCAGATCTGAAGAATCTTAAAATATAAATTTTCTCTGCATGAAACCTATTTCTTTTAAATGTACACATCTTTGCACTTTTCTTTGTTGCACTTCAGAGAAAGGGCCAGTGTGTGGACAGTATATTGGTTACTTTTCTCTTGTTGCTAAGTCAAAATAGCTGACACTCAAAATTAAGGAGAGAAAGGTTTGTTTAGCTCACAGTTGGTCGACATTTCAGCTGGCTCCAAGGCAGGGTGGCATGGCGAGGGGCAACAGCTCAAGGCGGCAAAAGACAGCAAAAGCAGCAGGAGCAAATGGGAGAAGGGCAAGCCTCCTCCCTTGCCTTGTGTTGTAAGCAGGCTACCTGCCCTAGGACGGGTGTAGCACTCGCACCATCCCTGTGCCCTCCTCTTGCACTGGATGAGGATGAGTACGGAGTGAGGACCTGGCCCCCACTGAGTCGTCTGGCTAAACTTCTAAACAAGTTGACGCAGTGCATCAACCAGGACAGAGAGCAAAAATGGAAAGCAGCTCTTGCGCCCAGAGCTTGTTGGGCTGGGTCCAGAAGGCAGGAAGCCATAATGGCTCGTGAACTAGCATTCAGATTGGAGTCTGATTTCTGCGTCACTTCCGACTCTGCAGGAGGACAATAAGATGGGTGTTGTTTCTTGGCCTCTTCCTAATTTTGAAGTTTACTTGTTCACAAATATCATAGAATAGAAAGCATCTCTAAACTCATTTTGCAAGTCCGGATGTGGTAGTGAAGTTTGAGGTGTATGTGACATTTTGCTTGGGAAAGTTGAGCTCCTCACAAAAGAGAACATAAGGAGAATCACCACAGGAGGAATGGGGGTAACTTAGAACTTAGCAGCCGGAGAACTGGATAACCTAAGTTAAACCTATGGAGTGTTTCACGTTGGCCCCTTCCCTCTCATCAGGAACTAAGTGCTAGGAGTTTATTTGTAGAATATAATGCTGATACTATGTAATTTCTCAAGCAACTAGTTAAAAAGAAGTGAGGCGATCCTGAAGTGGCCCTACCATGACCTTCCCCCTGTACACTTCAGGTGTTGCATAAGAAATAACTTCCCAGGCTGTTTCCTTTGAGTTGTGTTCCTTCATTACTGTTTTCGAATCAGTGTGCAGTCATTCCAGGGGTGATGAGTCCCACCCGTCAGCCTCGGCGCTGTGTTTTCTGGTAGAACACGCTCCTGCATCTTCCTCCCCAGGCTGCACTTCATTTCTCAGGAGACTTTATGCGCAGCCATTTTCCTAGACTTCAGCACCATCCAACAGTTCTGCTGGGAGATACAGCCCCAGACTCCCTCTTCAAGGCAGGCAAGCAAGAGCTAATCACTTACTGTAGCTTTTTTCCTTCTTGTGTGGTTGGCCATTTTTGAGAAGGAAAACAACTGAATACTCTTTAGTCTCTCCATAAATCTAGGACTTGACTTTTGTGAAATGAAGTCAAACTGAAGGGGGCGTCAGCAGAGCCTTGCTCGGTGAGTGGACCAGCTGGGAACCCCCGCGCTCCCGTATAGGGAGGCTGCCTCTGTGTTCTAAGACATTTTTCGGTTTATCTGGGGAACCAAGGGCAAAATGTGATTGGCTGTCACTTGTAAAAATTGCTTTTCACTGCGACCTTTTTCTTGTGACATTTGCCACCTTTGATGTCTGTTTTATGATTTCTAAATTAGAAAAGGGGCATCTAGTTAAAGAAAATGAAATTATTATCTAGTTACCTTTTCAGTTTTCTACTAAGTCCCTACTTCTCTCCTTGCCCCTTCTCTTCCCTGTCAGCTAGAATTGTGTGCTGAAGGCCAGAGAACACTTGTCCCTTACGGCAGGCTGTTCACTGGGAACAAGCTCTTGCTGTGACTCTACCAAATGCCAGCTGTCTCCAACTCTCTGAGAGTAGGAATTCTAAAATTCATTTCTCCATAATTACAAATGCCACTTCCACAGAAATGATGTGTAAATGGTGCTTGCCTTGACTCCCAAATGAAATTTGCACCAGCGTCCAGCGTTCTGGCCTGGCCTCTGTGTCTGTGGTGCCCGATCAGTAGAGCACGTGCAGAAGCGTGGAACAGGTCTTCACCGTGTGCCTGAGCACAGCATCGTTTCCCTCTAGGCACCTCCTCCTCAGCTGCCGAGGACCTTGCTGCAGCCTAGGCAGCGGCTTTTAGCACACCACTTCCCTCTAGGCACCTCCTCCTCAGCTGCCGAGGACCTTGCTGCAATCTAGGCAGCGGCCCTTAGCAAGCTGGAGGCCCCAAAATGCCCTGGCTCTTTCCCAGGTGAGATCCATGCTTTTCAATGCAGCCAAGGTGAGCACATAACAAAACGGTGTCTCATTTCACATGGAAGCAAATCGAATGGCAGAAGCCTGTGGCCAGGGAGGGTTCACGTCACAGATGATGGATGCGCTCCATGAAGACTGTGCTAGCCTGTGGGATCACCAGCGGCTTCCCAAGCATTCTTCATGTTGTTATACTTCATAGCTTACCTATGTCATGTATATATGATTAAATGCTTTGAATAATATATAGAAAATTATATTTAAAAACAACAAAAATTAGAGAGAAGTAAACGTGGCCTGCACCAAAGCAGTGGGAAAAACAGACCTCACAAAATATGAGCAAGCAGCCCTAAAAAGCCAATCTTGCCAACTATTTTGAATGTGAAAATTGCCTTGCATCAAAAAATTTAATAGTATATCAAATATACTTATTATATATGCTATCATGTATAATTGTATTATTTTTAGTTTTCAGGGACAAAAATATGTATGAAACAAAAGTAAATACTTATCTGTGTTCCAGATCATAACATCTACATGTGTTTGAAAAACAACACTGCAAATGCAAGTTGTTTTTCTGTCTGTGGGTGTTAAAAGGGCATAAAGAGAAGTAGAGCAAGGAAGCAAGGGAGTCAGGTCGCTGGTGGGGGACGTGTGGGAAAAGCAGAGAGAGCAGCCCTCAGTGCATTTGGTCCTCAGAGGCTGGCTGACAGACCCGATGCCAGCTGTTGCTCCTTCCCAGCTTCAGGACAACAGGGTGCCCATTTGTAGGAAACAAAACACAATGTCCCGTGGCTGCTTTTGGTGGAGTCTTAGTGTGCTAGTGCCGTGGAGGAGTTTCATGGTTTTGGTGCTGCTGCTTGGGGTGTGAGGTCACCACTCAGGTAATGGACCCAGAGAGTCATCCATTCAGGGCCAGAAGAAAGTACCTGGGAGGATGTGGAGCTGAGCCTTCCCAGCTGGTTGCAGTCTCTTTGGGAGTTATCTTACCAGGTTTCAGCATTGGTATTCTCTGTTCTGTGGGTGCTGTGTGCATCTGCTCACCCAGGCAATGCCGCCAATGGAGGAAGGACGCCTGTGCATCCCAGCAATAGATGTCTTGGGATTTCTAAGTGCCAAGGGCCTTCTTCAGC